TTTTACGTCCAGGTAATTCCTTTTTGTTTTTTCGAAAATGTAATGCCAGTAAGTTTAAAAATGTGAAGAGATCTATTTTGGCAGAATACCAATATATATATATAAATAATCTTTATTAAAAATATAGATGTATAAAAAACAACTAAAGTTAATCATATAAATTTCAGAAGTTACATTAATGTATAGAAATTTATATATACGTCAAAATAATTATAGTGTACGTAGTTACCGTTTTCATATCATAGTGTAGAGCAGTACTAAGGAATGTAGGCATTTCTATTAGAAGAATCATAAATCCAAAGTTGTGTCCACAGTGACCCAAAATTAGGGCCCACATTGGCAGAGATGTGAAGATATTTTTCCAAAGTGTCGTTGATTTCTAAACACAAAATGAAATCACACTTAAATAACTCTTACAACTTTTTCAAAATATACAGAAATATATCTGATTTGAAATAAAAATATTTAAAAATTGTATGATCTAATTAATTATCCTTGCATCGAGCCTGGGAGGAGGTTCATTTACACAGGAGTAAATACAGGGCTGCCAACTTTCGATGCTTTTTGTAAAATTTTCTCTAGTGGTACCTAAGTTTATATTGTAATGTATTATTTATTCATTTAAACTTATTTTTCTCATCACTAAGTATAAATAATTTAAAAGTTGATATAAAACGCCACTATATGCGATACCTCGTCGTGAAACTTTAACTATGTTAAAAAAAATTACCAAATATTCTGACAACTTTGATCTATCACTCAATAAAATATTTAATGAGTAGTAGTTATGTAAGGTAATGTTGAAAGACGAGGAATTTGGTTTAAATGAAATATAAATAAGAAGCGATAAGATATTTTAATGAAAAATATTTTAAATCGAAGTGTTTCATTTCTCTTTCTGATCTGTTACACCTTTTTTTATATAAATGTTACTTTTTTTTGCACTGTGATAAAATTAAACTTCTGTGAACCTGACAGTTAGCAGGCATGTAATTATATTAACATACAGCGTTTTGGCTGTAGATCAGTTTAATTGTAGATTCCCGTGACAGGGCTGTTAACTTTCAGGAAAAATGTGAAGTTGGTGAAATTAATATTTAATTTTTATCAACTTTTCGTAAGCAGCAAATAATATACGACTATCACTACCTATTAAATGCTATATGAAATTCATGTTGCGTTTACCACCGGCGTATTCACGAGTAAGCATATATATTACAACTTCTAAAAAGTAGTGAGAATAACGGAAAATTTTATTATCTGAAAAAAAAGCAATTATTACAGACATGTTTCGTATTTTGATAACCATAACCACAGACCTGTTTTATAAATTAACGCATTATATATATACAGTCAGACCTCGATATAAGGTCACCCTAAGGGATGTTGCAAAAGTGACCCTATAAGCGGGTTGACCTTTTAACCGATTCAATAGTAGTTCGTAACTAAGCACGTAAATAGCACACATTATGACTTTTTAAAAATGGTAATACAAACGAAAACGATCAGCCTTAAATTATATACTCAAGTCAATAAATTTTAACAAAATTAGTAAAGAATTAAAGAAAGTTAGATTTTTTTTAAAATTTTAATTTAAAATAAAGCTGTTTGCAAATTTCCTCAATGTGTACATACATACATTACATCTTACCTTATTTAAAATAATGATTTATGCAGATCTGTCTCGTTTTTGGTTTCATTTTTCCAACAACGTTTTCTAGATTTCGTAACTTCTTAAAACGTTCCTCAGCTCCCTCATGGTTTGTAAAAAAATTTCGTATGATATTTATTGCACTTAAAGCTTCCACTTGGGGTACAGCTACAGGCTCAGGATCACTGTCTTGTCCTCACTATCCGCAACTTGTTAAACAATTTCAGAAATTGTAGCTTGTTCGTTGGCTGCAACATTTTCCTAGAACTCGAGAGGGGTAATTGCCTTGTAAGGAAGTTAAAAAGGCTTTTGTTAGAAAAGAGCTTCCCTCGCCTCAGACAAAAATGACCTTATAAGCGATAACGATTTTAAAAACTTGACCATATATCCGATAATCAGTAACAGAGAATTCCTATTCAGTGAGCCGGGACTTTGGAAAAGTCACCTTATATGCGGGGTGACCTTATATGCGGATGACCTTATATCGAGGTCTGACTGCATATATATTTTTAATCATAATAAATATTATCATTGAGAAAAGTTTTAGAAAATTAAATTGTTGAGTTAAATGCTATTAAAAAAATTAAGAAATATTTAGAGCATGTTTGGCATATGTTTGGCTAATTTTTTTTTTTTTATTTTTTTTTTTTTTTTAGTTAGATTTTCTTCTCAGTTTATTT